AGGCAGCCTCCCCATTTAGGCCCAGGTGTTGTCACCTCCCCAGACACAGAAGCCAGGGCCTTTGGCTTGAGGTTAGAGGGAAACAGGCCCCGGGCAGGAGTCCTGGAGGTTGGGAGGCTGGGGCCCAGGGACAGCGGAGGCCTGGCCTGGTCACATACACAGCACATCTGTCTCTGGGTGGCAGGTGACAGAAAACAGACTGACTTCAGCAGAGAAGGGAGAGCGTGGGTTCCGTGACCCAGAGGCCCAGGTGGCATTGTGCTGCAGGTGCAGCTGGATCCAGGCGCAGATGCATCAGCCTCACCTCCTGGGGAGGTTCCCTGTCTGCACTCGCCCTTCTCCCCCTCCCCGGGGACCCTCGTCTCTGTAGGACCCTGTGTTGTGGCCACAGGCCTCCCCCAGGACAGCCTGGACCTGAGGCTGACTTCCCCCTAATCGCCTGCCCACAGGGTGCCTCAGCCCTCTTTGATATGATCGAGTGCTATGACTCAGCCACCCACCTCAACATCTCCTTCAACAAGCACATCGGCACCCGCGGCTGGCAGGCTGCCGCCCACATGATGCGCAAGGTGGATACCCCGCCTCTCGATCTCTATGGGGCAGCTCGGGCATAGGGGATCAGGGTGCTGTTCCAGGACACCCAGCTTTTAGGTCCCATCACATGAGCCTCAGGGTGTGGGCTCCGGGATCTTGGGCCCCAGCTTCTGGGCCAGTGGGAAGCAGTGAATTTGGGGAAGAAGCTGTTCTCTCTCCCTTGACCCCATGCCAAAAAGAGGTGCCCCGTCCCACCAGGTTCCTGGGTGTTGCCTGTGATCCTACGCCAGTGCCTGCCCTTCAGTGGGCCTGGGTTTCCCGTCTGAAGCATGGCCTGTGAATGTGCACCTGGGACTTGATCCTCGGCCCCACGCTGCCTCCCTAGATCCCTGGGAGCTGTCCCTGGGGGTGGGGGTCTGTCTTGGCAGGGTTGTGCTGCCGTTCCCCACCCACCTGCCCAGCGAGCTACCCCATTCTCTCCGCACAGAGCTGAGCTGCTCCAAGAACGAGAAAGAGCTGGAGGAGCTGCTGCTGGAAGCCAGTCAGGAAGCTGGACAGGAGACACTGTGACACTTTAGGTGAGAGGAGGGGCCGGGGGCCTGGGGCGCCAGGGAGTGGGCTCGGCCGCCCCCAGCTCTGAACTTTCCTCCCATCTCTTCTCCCCAAGTTCCTTTTTTCCAGTCGGCCTTCCCTGAGCTGAGGCCAGAGCCATGAGAATCT